TCTGTCTGTCTGTCTGTCTGTCTGTCTGTCTGTAAGAAACATCTATTTTGCTCTGCTGGCAGAGGGTAACCTCTGTCTTGCTGGGGGAAGGGCTGGACTGGGGTAGAAGAGCTCACTTTCAGCGCAGCACCTACCAGCAACCCCACTTGGCTGCATGCTTAAGTCAGACCCTTTGTTGTTGCACCAGTGATGTCAAAGCTGGTATTCCATCCTAATCTACCTACAACCTGGGGGCCCAAGTGTTTTTTTATTCAGGGGAGAAAGAGGTGCCTCATTTTGAAGCTCACATAAGTACTATCACAATCCACAGACATGATCTTCTCCCCCCACCACATCACTCACATAGTTTGAAAATCTTTCCAGATCAGTTCACAACTTTTAAAAATTGATATTCTTAACCGAAGTTCCATATTTAAAGTTATCATAATAATTTCAATAATTAGCTGATGCTGGGGCTAAATTTTCACAGTAATAGCTCCTGTGACTGAACAGCCACTACCTCTTTAGATAAAGAATGTACTTTCCAGTTTGAACCCAGCCAGAGTTGCTGAATTTAGCAAATACTAACGCAAGATGATGATTTTATTACTATTAATACTGGCAATGTAATGTGTCCAGTACAATTCATACAGTTGAGCTACAATATCCTGTACTTCAAGGGTCCTCAACCCCTGGCCCATGGTCTGATAGGAGCCAAGCCACATAGCAGGAAGTGATTGTCAGGCTAGGAAGCAAAGCTCCATCTGTATTTAGACCTGTTCCCCGCCACTCACATTCCTGCCTGAGCTCTGCCTCCTGTCAGGTCAATGGCAGCATTAGATTCTCATACGCGTGTGAATGCTACTGTGAACTGCACACAACAGGGATCTAGGCTACATGCTCCTTATGAGAACCTAATGGGTAATGACCTGAGGTGGAGCTGAGGCACTGATGCTAGCACTGAGAAGCAGCAGCAAATATAGATTAACAGTAGCAGAAAGGTTTGACTGCACGCAGACCACAATAAATCAGTTGGTTGCAGGTGCATATCAAAATTCTGTCAGTGAGGGGCAAGCAACACTGAGTGGCATCTGGTGTTGGACTTTATACTGGCAAGTGAGTTAATTGTATAGCTTCATCTGTTGTGGGCTTTAGGTCAAAATCCAGCCCTTATTTTAGCATAATTATTCATTATAATATATAATTTAATAATAGAAATAAAATGAACAATATATGTAATGTGCTCAAATCAAAACCTAATATGCTGCCTGGACCACTTATGGAATGAACATATTGATAGATGCCAAAAGAAAATTATATTCCATGGAGAATACCTCTAGTTTAACAAGATGAATGATAAGCAACGACCTCTTCCTGAGCACCATTTGAGAGGAGTGCCATTCTGGTTATTTGAGGGACCACCCTGCACTGGAATTCTGCATCCTTGACTTGAAGGCTTAGATCTGTCGCTGACTGGCTGAACAGAGTTGGGAGAGTCAGCAAGCCTTCAGGCTCTTCTGGTTTCCCATCTCTCAAAAGAGGGAACTAAAATGGTAGCTCCCCAAGGCTTCTACCAAAACTAATGCTCTTGATTTTCATGTTCTGAATATTCATCATTGGAAAAGATTAGCAAATCTGACAGCAGTATTAGTAGGAGAAAAAAAAAGTCAATTAATGATTATGTAACTGGGAATAATAAATCAGGTAATATGTTAGCAGGTTTCATTTCATAGCCCTAGGCAGTATTTCAAAAATTCCTGATCTAATAAAGAAACAGGAGCCTAGGAGCTTAGAGGAGTACACAGTATGCTGCTTTCTAAGCAGTTTAAATGCCACAGGTACAGAAGCAGATGTAGTTCTAGCATTTGGGAAGCTGAGGCAGGAAGGTCACTGAGGCAGGAAGATCACTTATGTTCAGAAGCCCAAGACCAGCATGGATAATGTCACTGTGAAACCCAATCTCAAAACAAAAGATGCCACCAACTGACAGGTTTCATGATTTGATAATAGCTTCTTAGGAGAAATAATATATAAATAATCACATCTCTTGGCTATCAAGAAATTGAAAAAGCTATTTTTTAAGTTGGTTTGAGAGATCCATTAAAACCTTCTGATCATACCAAACAGAATTGTGATGAACAATTTGCATTCCTATCTGTTTAGATACAAGAATAAGAGTAATCAGTGGAAAGAAGTAACATCAATTCAAAAATACCCTGGAGTTGGGAATACAGCTCAGTGACAGAGTATTTGCCCAGCCTTGGGTTCAATCCCCTGATCCTTAATAAATAAATAAATAAATAAGCCTTTTTGTTATCTGGCTTAACTATGGTTCTTTTTCTAGTTTTTTCTTTTTATTAACTTTTCAAAAGCTATCTACAGGGGCTGGTAAGATGGCTCAGTGGTCTAAAGCACCTACTTAGAACAAGCTTAGCAAAGCACAGGGACCACGGTTCAATCCCCCAGCACCACATGCCAGCCCGCCCCACCCCCTGGTGGGTGAGCTGGTCACACACACACACACACACAAATAAATAAAATTTAAAAAAAAAAAAAGCTATCTACAATAAGAATTTGGTTACATATGGTAAATTTAAGGAACTGCCCATTGATTAACACTTTCTGGACACTAGGAGAATTGCAGGCTCAGGGGCCGGGATTCGATCCTTGGGCCTGCTGTGCTGCCCCTGCCCCTGGGGCACACTGAGATGGCAATTGAGACTGGGCATGGTGGTGCTGCACCTGTAATCCCAGTCCCAGCTCTTGGGAGGCTGTAAACAGGCGGATCACTGAGTCTGATCTAGTAGTGAGACCCTGAGCACCCTGTAGGCCCTTCCCTAAAATACAAAAAAAAACCCAAAAACTGCCAGGCCTCGTGCCACGGGCATCTGCTTAAGGCAGATTCTCATCTTCAGCTGCGTTGGCACTTGGAGCCATAGTGTACCTGGCAGCACCTCTCATCTACTCACCAGGTGCCGGGAGTCCCATGCTTCCTGCTGTGACACATTGCCAAATATCCCCTTGGTGTGGGAGTACAGAGTTGTCACTGAGTAAGAGCCACTGGTTTCAATGATCCAATTAAACTGTGTAGCTCACAATAGCCCAGGAGGTAAAGCCTGTATTCCCCGGCGTGTCAATACCATTCTTTGGGCTATGCAGACTGAGCTGAGAGACACCATGTCCAAACACTGCTTTTCCACTTGGTCTCCACAATAGCAAGGCAAATGTCTCACCAACTCAATCATCAAACGGCTTCTTCTGTTCTTTCCTGTGGCCCCTCTCTTTGTTGGACTCTGAATTCCTTGGGCTGGGGAGGCTAGGATACCACAGTGGTGTTCGTCTTCTCTTCAGGGATAAAAATCCAACTCTTGTTACACACTGTCTCCTAGAAAGGAGACAGTGCTTTATTTCTACGATACCGAATTATTATGCAAATGAATGGAGATTTCTAAGCTATTCTTCAGGGCTCTTCTCACCCCAGTTACTCATCTATCTTGCCTCGAAAATGCACTAATATGTGAATAAACATAGTTGAGTCCATTATGAATTGCTCTTGGCTGGGTTTCTCTGGGTTTTTATCTGACTCTGTCCTGGGAACGAGTGATCCTCTAAGTCCGAAGTTGGCATAGCCCTGGGGATGAGGACACAGCACTGTGGCAGGATGCCATAATCACCTCTGGGACCTTTATTTAGAAACAAGCAAGCAAATCAGACAAACACAAAAAACAAAGATTCAAGCCCCTGTTTGCTGCCTCCAATTTTCACCCTCTCACAATGAAACAAAGATTGTGACTTATCTGCTGCCTCATTCAAGGTTGAGAGTCCTCAACTGAGGAAATTTGGGTATAAAAATGGTGGGAAACTGACACACCCATTTCTTAATTTTCCTATGATAAAGGTTTTGATATTGTCAGATTAATAAAAGGCAGTTGTTACATTTAATGAAAATTTCTCCAAACCCAAGTTAGACTATAGAACTTTTCACTAATTTCTTTTAGGAGAATTATACTTCTCTACCAGACATGATGAGTCAAAAAAACCTTCCTGTTATGTTTTGCGTTTAGGTGTCACCCCAATGAAAATGTCACACAGGCATTGGGGCAGGCTACTGTGATTAATTCATGGTCCAATCCTGGGACTATGGATGTGGGAGCTAAACCTGCCCTGGGGTGGGTAATCTGGGTACAACGTAAGGAAGGGATAGAGGCTTGGCTATTTGCTGTCTTCCCACCGCCATGAATGGTTGTCCTCTGCTCTGTGCTGCTCTGCCTTGGAGCCAGTCAAGCATGGACTGAAACCTCCACTAACCATGAGCTAAATAAACCTTTCCTTCCTTCATTTTCGGCATCAGGTGTTTTGTCCCAGCAATGAGGAAAAAGTAACCGAGGCACTAAACCTCCAAGGGCATCAGGCACTGACTCCAGGCATCAACGTGATCCTGATAATGGCTTCCTGGAGAGTAGAGGAGAAAGACCCAGAAGCTGCAAGCTTTCTGGCCTCTGATAGAGGTCTAATGTGAGCAAGAAACACACTTTCTTGCTTAAAGCTGCTGAAATCGTGGGCTTGATTGTCATAGCGGCATACGTAGACTTATGTAAAGAGCCAGAAAAATCATTTAAGTTTGTGAAGTAGGCTATGTATGACAATAACAGAGGGACACGGATTAAATCAGATTGAAAACTTGGCACATCTGTAGATGTTTAAATGCTTTTTCATGTTTGAACACTTAAGTGGCTAAAAAACTCACATCTGTAGGCTAGCCTCACACAACGGGCTACCAATAAGTGACCACGGTTACAGAATAAGTTTGAAGAGGGTTTTTTTTCTTTGTTTGATAAAGATATGAATACATTAAAAGTCCCGCTATAAGATCATTACAGCAAGCTTTACAAATGGGAAGGAATCTGGAAGGTCAACATTGGAAGTATAATGCTAAGTTACGTTAGAATTTATTTATTTATTTATTTATTCATTGTCTTTTTGAGACAGGGTCTTGCAATGCAGTCCAGGCTGGCCTTGAGCTCACTGTATAGCCCAGACTGGTGTTGAGCTTGCAAGGATCCTCCTGCCTCAGCCTCCCCACTGCTAGGATTACAGGTGAGAGGTGACCTCCAGACACCAGAATGTAGCAACATGAGGAAGATGAGGAGAAGGGTGGGTCCCCTGCACCCAGAAAGGATTTGAGGGCTTTTCTTATCTAGAAGAAATAATCTTCAAATGGATTAGCTTCCTTTTACTAAAATCACAACTTTATTGGAAAGCATCGCTCAAGCGGAATTAAGACAACAAGCAAGCAAACAAAGCCAAAGCCCTTCCTAGTCCTTTTAAACAATAAGATCTCTGTCTCTTTTATTGTTTCATTAAATTACAAATCTGTTTGGGGTACCTACTATATACCACACAGCTTTCTAGCACTTAGTGGATGTCTTAGTCTTCGTTGATTACTGTAACTGCTACCATCCACCGAGTAAATTATAAAGAATAAAAACGTCCCTTAGGCTTATCATGCTGAAAGCTGGGAAGTTTGGATGTTGTGGTTCCCTTGAGTGGGAATGCCCAGCTGAACGGAGTGGCCTGGCTTGGGGGTTAGAGACCCACGTAAGGGAGACTGTTGTCAGAGCGGCACAGAAGAACAGGAGGGGAGGATTTTATACGGACTGCCCTTGGAAAAGCCTCCATACTGCTGATTTGCATTTGGGCCGCTTTTCTCCAGAGAAGCTTCGGCTGTTCTCTTTGGAGCTTCGGTCTTGGCCTTCACCAGGAATGACTGCTGTCCTCTTCAGAGCACTTCCGCTCTCCCCGTCTGCTTGAGCATTGTCTCCTGGCCTTTGGCAGACACCCCGGCTTCCAGCCCCTACCTTCGGCCTGTGCACGCAGATTCTCTGGCCTCCAGCATCAGTCCTGAGGCTTCCCTGCACAGAGCCTTCAGCCTTCCACCACACATCCCTCAGACTCCTGCAGGACAGTGTCATGGGATCCATGCCCTCAGCTGGAGTCTTCAGATCTCCACCACACATCCCTCAGACTCCTGCAGGACAGTGTCATGGGATCCATGCCCTCAGCTGGAGTCTTCAGATCTCCACCACACATCCCTCAGACTCCTGCAGGACAGTGTCATGGGATCCATGCCCTCAGCTGGAGTCTTCAGATCTCCACCACACATCCCTCAGACTCCTGCAGGACAGTGTCATGGGATCCATGCCCTCAGCTGGAGTCTTCAGATCTCCACCACACATCCCTCAGACTCCTGCAGGACAGTGTCATGGGATCCATGCCCTCAGCTGGAGTCTTCAGATCTCCAGCAAGCAGATCTCTTGCGCTTTTCCTCATGAGCCTCTGTAGTAGAGTCAGGTATTATAAGCTGCTCTTGTAAATTTCTGGCTTCTGCATTAAATCTCTTCCCTTATGAACACTGACTAATTCAAGTGGGTGTATGTGGGGAAGGTCTTCTTGGGAGTGAGGACTGCACAGCTTCCTAGGAGCATGAGCTGCCACATGGCAAGACAGAATTCCCCAGTTCAGATTTCTCTTACACTGTCCTAGGCCCCACTGACTTCAGGCTCCAGCCTTATGGGTTCTGCTCACTATCACTCCCTCCTAAGGATCTCAGCTCCAATGTCATAAATGAAAGGTGCACCTAAGAAATACCTCCCAGAAGGGCTTAAGCGTCAATGAAAGCTTTGGTAAGCACATGCAAACACCAGCAATGGACGAAAGAGAATGTTTTTCCCCTCAGGGAGTTTACACCCTAATTAATGATGGTCCCGTAGGTAATTCTAGCATGCTGCCTTGAATAGAATTCCGTATTTCCATGAAAATTACTGACAGTAACAGCATTATGGTTTAGATCAAGGATGGCCCCCAAAGGCCTCATGTATTGATAAGCAGGGCTTCCGGAGGTGACTGAGCCATGCGGCCACTGTAGGCGACCTGCTATTGGGGGGAGGTGGCAGGAAGGGCAGGCCACTGGGAGAGGGCCTGGGAGGGCCTGGCTCACTTCCTGAGCCTCTCTCCTCACCCTACTTCCTGGCCGCCATGATGTGAGCAGCTTATGCCAGCCAGGCCCTTGCACTGTGCCATTTCTGTTTGAGCCTGCCCTGTGTTGGCCAAAACTTCTGACACAGAGGCCAAACAGACTTCTCTCTCCTCCTTTAAGTGGTAGGGATCAGGATTTATCCCTGTGATTGAAGAAAGTGTCTGAGACAGTCTGCTTTCTGATACACTAACAAATACTTGAGATAACCCACTTGCAAAGAGAACAGGTTTACTTTGGCTGAGTTTATTTTGGTGCCTGATCAACAAGCCCTGTTCTTCCTGGGCCTACAAAAGGCAGCACATGATTGCAGGGCAAAGGATGCAGCAGTCAGCTCACCTTGGGACTAGGATGAGAGAGAGGAGGGTCCCACAACCATTTGGGGGCACCCTGCCACAACAACTGTGTTCCACTAGGCCCAAGCTCCTTAAGCTTCCCTCTTCCTTCATTAGTGCTGGGGACCTCTGGACCATGCCATTAACACCTGGGCCTTCAGGGGACAATTTCAGATCCACACTCCAGCCAAGAGTTTGTGTCCTGTTGTGTCTGTTTTAAAGAGAAAATCCTGCTGGGTGTGGTGCACACACCTGTAATCCCAGCACTGGGGAAGCTGAGACAGGAGTTTGAGGCCAGCCTAGGACTACAAAGTAAGTTCAAGACTAGCCTGAACTGCATAGTAGAAGTTTGTCTCGAAAGACCAAAACAAAACAAAACAAAAAAAAACCCTTAAGTTATAATTAATGGTATTCTAGTACACCAAGCTCTCAAATTATCACCACTATTGAATCCCAGAACATTTCTGTCACCCAGAATGAAACCCCTTCCCCATTCATAGTTGCTCCCCACTCTTCCCTTCCTCCAGTTCCTGACAACCATGGCTCTACTTCGTCTCTACAAATTTCTATCCCAAACATGTCATTGGGTAGAAACACACCTCATGTCCACCTCCTTTACTATAATGTTTCCAAGTTTTACTTACATTCTAGCATGGATCAAGATTTCCCATCTTCTCAGTAGAATAAGTGCTTACCTGGCAAGCGCAGGGTCCTGAGTTTAATCCCCGATACTGAAAAAAAAAAAAAAAAAGTTTCCATCTTTTTGTTTTCAGATCATTTTCCGCTGTATGGATGTGCTGTAGTCAGGGCTTACAATGGAAAATATTTCATACAATGGAAAATATTTCATAAGACACATAACTTATACGATTATTTTATTTATTTATTGGTATTTTATGGAAGGGTCTACATGGTGTTCAGGGTCTCACTACTAGATTGGACTTGTAGTGATCTACCTGTTTACAGCTTCCCAAGAGCTGGGATTACAGGCGTGCACCATCACGCCCAGTCTCAATTGCTGTCTCAGTGTGCCCCGGTGGCAGGGCCAGCATAGCAGGCCTGGGGATCGAACCCCTGGCCCCCGCACCTGCTTGCAGGCATTTTAATCTCCTGAGCTATTTGGCTGGCCCAGGATTATTTTATAACATTTACCCAACCAGTCAAATGCAAAAGACTCATGGAGGTCTGTCCACGTACTTCAAAGAACCAAAGAATCAGCTGAAGATGTAGAGCCCATGGCAATGTCTCATGCGAGTTTGTATCAAGGTTCTGCACTAAGAAGGCCCAAGGGTCAGTGGTGGAAGCTAGAAAGTCTGTGCCAGCAGGCTGAGGGATCTGCCCCGCAGCCAGGAAGCAAGGCTCAATGTAAGGACCAGACTTCCCCCAAAAGTGCCACAGCCATACTCAGCGACAATGAGATCCCAAGCTCCTCCAATGTTAACAGCCAACTTTGTATGAGGAAAGCCAGACTGATAAGCTCCTCCAGACATGGAACAGTGCTCCATGCTACCCTCTGGAGTCAGGAAGTAATGTTCAAAATAAGCAGAGCTCCTCCGAGAACCGCAGCCATTTAAGTGACAGTGAGGACCTGAGCTTCAACTGCTGAGTTCATATCAGGAAAGCGAGTGCAACAGGCTTCTCAGGAGAATTCACAGTGCACCACTTGCCCTGCCTGCCAGTTCTCCTTTCAGGTTGCTGGCCATGATCCTCCATGCCCAGCAGTGACCCTCAGGTGGGCCCTCCACGCCCAGCAGTGACCCTCAGGAGGGCCCTCCACACCCAGCAGAGACCCTCAAGCGGGCCCTCCACACCCAGCAGAGACCCTCA